AAAAAAAACATTTCAGTGGTTCTGCGGTCACATGGATAAATTCAGGATATAAAAATTCAGGTCTCAAAATTCAAGGAAAACAAGCAGAATACGGTTATGAATTGACAGAGTTCCAAAACTACAGGAACCGAATGATTTTCTAGATGTCCACTTCTGCTAATGGTTCTTGACCATTCGCTTTGTTCTGTTGATGCAGGGGAAGCAGAGACCCGTCTTTATATTTAGCCACTGCTGTAGTCAACTGCATGCAAACCGACCAATGTTCTTCTAGCATTTAAACCAATTGTGTTTATTAAAAACACTGCACTGAGGCTCATGACCACACAAACCTATGCAGCTCTACAAAGCATGTGGCACTAGTGTGAAACTGCTGCTCACAGCTCTTTTTTAAAACGATGTTTGTCTAAACTCTGAAATGATGTGACATAGCTGGCAAAGCAATGCATGCTGTTAATCACTCACAGAAGCAGAGTGATGATGAACAGAAGAGACAGCAAACTCCTTCACACAGCAGCCATAAACAGGCATCTAAACATCAAATCAACATTCTTCATACAAAATGTAAATTATACCACACAAACTCGAGTATTGTGAGTCTTTGCTCAACAGTTAGCAATGTTTTGTTTGGAAAATAAAAGAAATTGGATTGTCTGAAGTCTGTCGTGATTGGATATTGGTTTATATATGTCTATATGACACACAACATACATATCTAATTAATGAAATCTCCCTTGAAGGTTCATCAAAAAGGGGTGTGAATCTTCACAGTCCTCACGAATTGATTCAAATATGATTCAAATGATAACAATTCAATTACAAAATGATCCTCAATGCATCTCGTCCACACTATCGGTTAGTGTTGTCGATACCAAAATTTCAAAAGCCATTTTCAATAGCACTAAAATGCAATAATTCTCAGTACCAATTACAATAGCAGAGATGAAAAAATATGGAAATTAAACACTTATCTCTAACTGGTAAACCACATTAAATCTTTATTTTACTTATTTTACTTTTTAAACAACATAATCATAAGTACTTTTTAAAATAATTTAATTATTTAAACAATTCATTAAACAATAAAATTATTTTAAATAAAATAAATATTTTAAAATAATTAATAGCAATAAACAAAAATAACTGTATGTAGTCAAGTAATTAAATTGAGTTTCAAAACATATAAATGTAGTCAGTAATAAGGAAGAATGAAGACATGCATTACAAGCCATAAACAAAAAGTGCTTTCATAGCTGTTTTCACACATTCAAACTGGTAAATTTCTCTAAAAACTTCTCTAAAAAGTAGTAATGGCATCAATATTACAATCTGTCCACACATTGTAAGCGTTGCAACATCATGCAAAACCCTGGGATGCTCACAGTGCATATCATGCACATTAAAGCTGGTGAATGCAATAGTAATTCGCTTTGAACTTTAGAGAAGTTTAAATGTTTTAGTTTTGTTTGTGTGGAATTGGCATCAAACAGAAAATGGCTCAAACACACACATAAGTACCATCCCTGCGGTTAAAAATTAAACACAGAAAAAACTCAATTCATAAGAATCAGTTCAGTATCACTGAAGAAACAATTGCAATGCATCACAAAAGCTGTCACTGAAGTGGTACCGTTCTAGCTTATTTGCCCTTAAAGCGTGCACATTAGTATCTTAAAAGTACATATAAGTGCCTAAAGTAAACACACTAGTGTCTAAATGGTACATTTTAGTACCTTTTGAAAATGCCCCAGTGACAACTTTTTGCACTTATTTTTTCTTGAGAGTGTACTAAGCCATCAAAGAAAGACAAAATACATTTTTTACAATTTATGAAATTTTTCTCAGTCCACAAAACTCTAGAGCATGCACTCATATAAAGAAGCATTCAACTGGACTTAAAGACATGAACGGCCATTACGCAAATCACACACGCAGCCTAACACACACAAAGAGGCTCATTTATTCACTAGTACGGGACCGTTTCTGCTTTCCATGTCAGAGGTGAAGAGGGACCAATAAAGCATCATGTTACAGGAGTTCATTTAGACAGCAGCTGAACAAAGACAAACCCGCCGCTAATTCACATGCGAACAATGAGGAGCATATTAAAGAGTGAATCAGCCGTGTGGCTCTGATCCAGATTTAAGTGAGATGAGATGTATACTTGGAAAACAATGGGGCTGTTCTCCTGGAGCCAATGCTAAAGAGCTTTTTCAACACTTTCTCATTTATTAGCCTCTGCATCACTTCCTGCTTCTGCTTCCTTGTTTTATTGCTTTATTTATTGGTATGACATGGAGATTTCTCATTGTGATAAGACAGTAAAGATGAGACATGCAGAGTTTGGTGTAGATATGAGGAAAGGATTATCTACTATTATTTGAGGGGAAAAAAAATAATAAATCATATAGTTTTCGGCAACTGAATATACTACCTCCAAATTAATTTTCGACCGAATCAGTTTTGGAGGAATGAAATCACTGACGAAATGGTGATATTTAATTATAGCGTTTCTCTGATGACATGTTTTGATTGTCATTAGTTGTTTTTCCATCCAAAGATACAAATTTAACTTCTGCATAAAATTAGAACATTGCATAAAACATATGCAAATATAGCACCATTTTCTATCCTGTGTGTTCAAGAGAATAAAATCGTAATTTCCTGGGAAACTGGCACAAAGTATCAATAATAAAAAATGAAAGTTGTCGCAGCCAGGGAAGTCTGTGGCTCTATTTTCCTTCATAATAATTGACTTGATCCAGACGAAACACAATAACACTGTCGTGTTGTTATTTGGATGCCTGATGTTTGGGAACGCAGTCATGTGAGACGATGTTCAGGCATTTCAAAATGATTAAAATAACACTAGCTCTCAGGTTAGTCTAGTTATCCAATCACATCATCTGCTGAGGCAAAGTCACATGACGTTTAATGCACATTGGGTAATTTATTGGTTAAATTGTGTTTCCTTCATAGTTTATTCACGTCTTCTTAACAGGTGAAAAAAGTGCTTTTTTTTTTTATTTAAGCACATCTTAGCATTTCCATCCAGTGTTATTTTATGCGATATTCTACAATTTGCATAAAATAGATGGATGGAAACATAGCTTGTGTTTATTTTGTTCACACAATATGGATAAACTACAACAGGCAAACATGTCAGCGATCTGAATAGTGCTGGGTTGATCATTTTGATTTCTGGATTTTAATCAATCTTTATTTTGATGAACCGAGATCTTCTGTTTTGAAAAACATCTGTTTTCAGTTGATGCGTGAACAAAATAACTAAATATTTTTGTAGTGTGACTCCCATCCAATAATCGCAATAAGCTTTGTGCTGTTACTTGTGATATGAAACAAAGTCTCAGTTTTCAAATTCTGTTAACAAAATTCAAACAATAGCTAAATGTGGCTCTTTAATGTGTCGTGACAGATTGCTGTAGCCTCAGTTCAAGCGGCACGTGAACTGATCATCATCCCTTTCTCTTTACTAGGGGTGCTGCGATCAGGATTTTTGAGGCCGATCACCGATCGCCGATCATAGAAAGCAGTATCTGCAGATACCGATCACCGATACCGATCTTTTAAAGCCTTCTTTTTATCATTTATAACTATTTATTGTGATACTCCAATCAGGATTTTTAGACATTTATTCAGGGATCATTAAGACGTTTTAAATACTTCACTGAAGGAAGTGTTATTATGGATTATGGACTCTTATTTCAGCCGGAAGCAACTGTTTAATGTTAAAAACATCTTAATGCTGGATTTATTTATTTTGTTTTCACAAGATGTTAACTGATGGACTGGAGTGCTGTGGATTACTTGTGGATTATTGTGATGTTTTTATCAGCTGTTTGGACTCTCATTCTGACGGCACCCATTCACTGCAGAGCATCCATTGCTGAGACACTGATGCAATGCTACATTTCTCCAAATCTGATGAAGAACAAACTCATCCTAATCTTGGATGGCCTGAGGGTGAAGACATTTTCACAAATTTTCATTTTTTGGGTTAACTATTCATTTAATTGGATTTATTATAAATTACATTTATTTATTTATTTCTGTTTGAATCGCCCACATTGTTAAATCATCTCTTTTTAAAAAATGGTGCAGTTCTTGTACCAAAGTGGCCAAAGGGTCCAACCCATAAAAATGCTCAAAATGTTTTGCTCAATAAGAACAAAGAACATAAATCATGCATTATTTTGCAATTCAGAAAGAAGTTTCCCTCTTGGCAAGTGTTCATTTTGGACCGGAATTCAAAGTTTTGACAGAAGTAAAATGATTGCTTTGTTACTTCACATTACACAAATTTGTGTTCAGCTTTGGGAGGGTGATTTGGCACACGAGGAGAACTACAGAACCATAAACGTCTGTTTTATTTTATTTAGTTATTTTCCAAATTCAATAAACTAATACACTAATTAACTAATCAATTTAAAGAACATAAATCAGAGCACTGATGAAGTGAATATGTCGATGATTGATCTGGAGGATGATGTGTTTGACCTCATGCAGGTAGTTAACACCCCATAACAGCTCAGAATGAGAAACAGTTGGACTGTAAACGGGCATCTCTGCAGTTCTGCTCTGGCAGAAGATATCATTCTGTTTTCACCTCCATAAACAGTCTATCATACAGTGAAGTCTGCATTCTTTGGGTTAAACACACTGCTGAGGTTGTTACAGGATGCAACAGATATTGTAAACCTCTACTTTGGGTTACAATGATCCCACAATAAAATTATGTAGCCTAATATACTGTATGTTTAGGGATGCTCAATATATCAGTGAGCATGTCGATTTAGCACATCATTTCAGAGCGATTTTTTAGCATGCTTTTTGTTCCATGTTTCAAAAACACCAAGCAGTTTTTCTTTACTACCACATACAGTAATGTTTTGATGCCTAATTTCACCTGCTTTTTTTTAAAGAAGCATGAAAATCAGCACAAATGCATAACATCATAGACCATGTATATGGTTCTGTCTTACCGAAGCAGTTGCAGCGATGAGGGACAAACATCTTGCAGGCTGTGGCGATGTGGATCTCAGCGCTCAGAAGAGCTTTAATGATCAGTTCCTCGATCTGGCCCATGAGCACTGACAAACACATAGAAATGTATTTAATTTTTTTTTTTTTGAACAGCAAGTGTTTTTATCATGCAACACAACCATCTGCAAAAGCGCTGAAATATGTGACCCTGGAGCACAAAACCAGTCATGAGGGTAAATTTTTTTAAACTGAGATTTATACATCATCTGAAAGCTAAATAAATAAGCTTTCCATTGATGTATGGTTTGTTAGGATCGGAAAATATTTTTTTGCAAAAAAATCTAAATATTGAGAAAATCACCTTTAAAGTTGTCCAACTTAAGTTCCTAGCAATGCATATTACTAATCAAAAATTAAGGGTCACATATAGTTGTTCCTCCTATCTTATATTACTCTGTGGTGAGGGGGGCGTGGTTCAGCGAAGTCTGCAGCGGGAGAGAGGGACGGGAGACGAGCGGTGAGTAAGTAGGTCAAGTGCAAAATGATGAACACCTGTGTCTGATTGCAGTAATTAGCCTGGAGAGACCGGATAAAAGGGCAGACTGGAGAACAGAG